AACCTTTATCAGGCCAACCTTTGCACCGGCTGTCCCTTCCTTCCTTCTTTATCAGATAAGGACATGCACTCTCACTCACGGAGAAGGGATCATAATTGTTTTCCTTCACACAGATACTCTCTCAAAGCATTATAGAAATGACATTAACAGCATGCTGAAATGCAACCACACGTGGGATTTTTTTATCCTGACAATGAATTATCACTCTCTGCAGCAGGAAGAAGACAATTTGCCTGCAGGTACTGGTGAAAACCTTTAGGGAACCTTTAATAAAAGTCTTTAGAGAACCTTGAATGGCTGCCTACAGCAGAGAGGATTTCCACCTCGCTTCATCTGAAAGATTGATCTCGCTAGGTGTGTGCAGACATAGTCTAAAGCTATGCAGACCTCATTTTTCGTACCTCAGCAAGTGCTGTGCCTTCAAGAAATGTAAAATGATAGTTCCAAAGTCAGCAATTGGTCTCAAACCTCATTCTACAATACCTCAGCTCTATCTTTTGCCTTCCACCTGCATTATGTGTCATTTCAAACTGTGAATTGTGGAGGATTTGACAATGAGCATCGCTGGCAAGTCTCTCTCCGTCTGTGCAGTTGGGACTGCATTGGTTGAGTTGTTTCACTTGGTCTCCACTGGCTCCCTGAGGTTTTTTCTACCCCCACAAAATTCAGCAAAATAAAGCATTTCTGGCAAGTGGGGGGGTTGCCAAAGTAGCAGATTAGCATAAATTACTAAAATAGCAAATAACACTGCTGACAAAACAGTGTGTCCTGAAAATATATAATATATTCCCTTTACGGGCAGGAGAGTGATTTTATTTATGGGAGGAGGAGGATTTTTTTTTTTTTTGGCAGCAGATGATTTGGTTTCTTTTTTTTCTACTTAAAAAGCAGTTTTCAGCATTGCAGATATTCATTTTACATTACTCAAAAGGGGTGCCGATAGCTTGTCTCTGAAATCTGAAATAATCAATACTTTTAAAGTCAGTAGTCTTTTTCCTGGCCCACATGGAAGCTTTGACTGCTTCATGCAAATGACTGCATTTTCAACTCAAACTTCATTTTTCAAACTTAAAAGTTTTACCCAAGGCCCTTACTGCTCTGGACATGTCCTGCTGAGGTATGAGGAACAAAGACGACTATTGTGTTTACATGCTTGAGTGTGTAGGTAAGGTTGTGGTGTGTCTGTGGGATGTATAAGGCTCTTGGCTTGAGATGGTTTCAGATCTTCCACCTCCTGGCTGTCAGTCCAGTAGCTCAACACCACTTGAGTAATTAGAAACAATTGCTTCTGTGGGGCAGCAGGTATCACAGGGGCAAGGGATGTGAAGGGATCAAATGGGGGAAGGGATGTCGAGCCCTTCTTCATCTCTCTGTTCTCTGTAGTACTTTTTACTTCTAAGTCAAGATGAAGCCACCAGACGCAGGCAGGAGGTGGTGACAACTAGTTAGGAGGTGCGAGACTGAGACTGAAAGGGGGAATGATGGACACAAACTAGCAGACTGCCAGAAAGCTTGGTTGTGTTCATACTGTAAGATCCTCAACTGGAGCTCCTATGGCCGTTGAGAACAGTGTCTGTCACAGTACCTGCACTTCAGCATCTTGATTTGCATTTTTCTTGCAAGGCAGGATTTAGTGTGGACACCAAGGGCATGGCATTGGATTTGAAAGTCTGTAAAACGCGCTGGATGTTGTCCACGCCTGGTGAAATTCTTCCAATCTCTGGTGGTAGTGTTGCATCACATAATTGTTTAGCCATGTTGTCCTTTCAAATGAACGAATTAACTGTGCAGAAAAGAATGGGGTGAAGATTTTAATGCTATTTGAGATGGGGTTGTCCTGATGTAAAACAGTCTGTTATTAGAATCTTTAATGTGTGAGTAGATTGTATTAAGTAATCTATACATGATTCTCTCTGCTTATGTGTGAACTACTCCAAATGAATGCATAATTTTTATGTGGACATGCTCTAAACCGGTTGATACGGCAGTAAGTGGAAGCATAGTCATTCTTCCTTGTGTTATCTGAAAAACCCAAACTGTTAATACAAGTTTCCTTTTCCTGTTGTTTTGTTTTACTGTGAGAAGAGCTTGACAGATCATTTCTTAGCTGATGCATCCCCCAGGGCCACGATATGCTGATGCTCTAAGGTCCACACTTTCTACTGGTTTACGTATGTTAGATTTCTTGGTGGAATTTATTAGTCAGTTTCTGGTTATAAAGTCCTGCATTAAATGGGATTTAGTTGCTTGAGAATCGGCATTTTCTTGGTACAGTGGTGAAACAGTTTGCTAGCAGTCTTTTATAGGGCATACAGTTACAACAACATTTTATTTTTAATTTAAAATTGAGAGTGATGCAGTTGCTGCATTCAATTGTGAAATTTATATGCAATATTGTTTTTTAATTGGTAGTTAGAAATTCATACATATACATACATTAGTAACCATTTTTTATATTAAATTTGGTGGGAAATTTTGGGTAATGGTAGTATGGATCTGATATTTTAAGAAACTGGTGACCTCTCTTTGTACATGATAGAGTAGCAGGTCTCAGAGGCTATGTCTTGCCCAAGGAGTGATGTTCTCCATGGAGCACTCCAGCCCTCATCTTCCTGCCATTTCTTCTGAGAGACCTCCAAGGAGAGCCATCACTCCCGCACTGTCCAGGCACCCACATTTCCTTCTGTTGAGCACACTCCAAGAGTGGAGACACCAGGTCTCATCCTAATGTGGAACCAGGATCCAATCTGGCTAAGCACTTGTCCCAGGCGTTTGACAACATATATATGGACCAGCTAGCACAAGAGTCAGTGAGGACAGTAATGCTTGACAAAGCCATTTTTGTCCTGGAAGCCCCCCTGGTGCAGGCACAGTGGGGTCGACAACATGCTCCCCAAGATGTTTTTCATGGATACAGTAGTATTATTCTCTGTTGTTCAAAGGGTACTCTCCTTGTCTGTTCTTTTATTGGAAAAGACAATGCACAAGCTTAATTTTAAAAAGCTTTCCTGAAAAAGGACCTTGTCACATTTTCCTATTTTTATATGCAATCTGGTTATAGTAAGCAAAAGCAAATGCAGTAATTTTGGATGGAAGGAGTTACATAGTATAGTTTTGACAGATCAGTATATTGTCCCACATTGTTTGCTCAGCTATCAAAGTTCTGATAATTGCTGCCATATACATATTTTGAGGTGGTATGGAAAACAAGTAAGCTTTTGTTTTTCCTCAGATCTCATTGCTTCCCTATTTTAGATTGCTTTATTTGACTACATTAAAATTGCATTAAAAATTAGACAGATACACTTTGGGGCTTCCTTTCCATCATAGAGTTTTGCTTTGAATAAATCAATATATTAAGGCAACTGTTCTGTATTTCTGGTTGCTTCCATGCTAAGTGTGCTTTATGGTTGATTTGAAAGATATTTTAATTTGATCTTTTAAGACTCCGTAGGCTGTTTTCTGTAGAATCATTCTGCAAAGAAAGGATTAATACTTCTATGTGCATTTACATCTAGGGCTTTGCTCTGTTGAAGAACCTAGTGGATAGATGTAAAGTTCATGAAAGAATCATGACAAGACACTGTACATAAAGCAGACATAATGCTGTGGAAGCACAGCCTCTCTTAAAGAACAGCTATGGCCTAGACTTGAAAATCATTACATGACTTTTTAGCCTCACTGCTTATATCCCCTTGATGAAAGTAAAATGTAGTGTACTTTCTTTAATGGGCACTTGACTATCTGTAGTGCTCCTGAAATGTGTCTGTAACTACTCAATGAAATGGTTATCGATGAATCAGGTTAGATCACCATAAATAGTGATAATGTCACCACTGTATGTCTATCTTAAGGGTTGAAAGCTTTCTGCAGGTGGAAGCATCTATAATCTGTATTATTTCCTTGAGTTGTCACAGAATCATAGAATAGTTGAGGTTGGCAGAAGGTCATCTGGTCCAGCTCCCCTGCTCAAGCATGGCCACCTGGAGCAGGTTGCCCAGGACTATGTACGGGTGGCTTTTGAATATCTCCAAGGGTGGAGACTCCACAACCTCTCTGGGCAACCTGTGCCAGTCATCCTCACAGTAAAAAAGTGTTTCCTGATGTTCAGAGGGAACCTCCTCTGTTTCAGTTTGTGCCCATTGCCTCTGGTCCTGTCACTGGGCACCACTGGAAAGAGCCTGGCTTGGTCTTCTTTACACCCTCCCTTCAGATGTTTGTGCACATTGATGAGATCCCCCCTGAGCCTTCTCTTCTCAACTGAGCAGTCCCAGCTCTCAGTCTTTCCTCATAAGAGAGATGCTCCAGTCCCTTAATTATCATAGTGGCCTTTCGTTGGACTCTCTCCAGTAGCTCCATGTCTTGTTCTTGGAAGCCCAGAACTAGACCCAGCACTTGAGATGTGCCTCATCAGTGCTGAGTAGAGGGGAAGGATCACCTCTCTCAACCTGCTGGCAATACTTTGCCTGACACAGCACAGGATACCATTTGCCTTCTTTGTTGCTGGCTCACATTCAACTTGGTGTCCACCAGGACCCCCAAGTCCTTTACTACAAAGCTGCTTTCCAGCCAGTGAGCCCCCAGCCCATGCTGGTGCATGGAGTGGTTCCTCCCCAGGTGCAGGACTTTGCATTTGCCTTTGTTGAACTTCGTGAGATTCCTGTCAGCCCATTTCTCCAGGGGTCTCCCTGGATGGCACAACCCTCTGGCATATCAGCCACTCCTCCCAGCCGCTTGTTGTCATTTCTGAAGAGCTGTGAGAGCAGGCGCCATCTGATGGCTTCAGTTCTCTTTATGATTTATGTTGTTACAGACAAGAGGATATCTAGGTTGTGGAATTCCTTTGTCAATGTACAAATGAGTTTTGCTAATCAGCTAAGTTGCTTAAAAGAAAGAGACTGTTTTCCTCTGAAGTTAATGTGCCAAAGGACAATAACGTTTTCAGCCTGTAATCACTTCTAATCAATTCTGTGTATTGCTTTTATTTTGTCATCTCTTAGGATGCAGGAAGTCAACAAATAGGCTTTTTGCTTGGAAGCTGTGGAGTTACTGTGGCCTTGACTAGCGATGCATGCCATAAAGGACTGCCTAAAAGCCCCACAGGGGAGATACCACAGTTTAAAGGTAAGCCAACCCTTGCTTGTCGTGGATATCACGGGTCATTTACTACAATAGTAAATGTTGTTTAGTTGTAGTGGGTGAGGATCAGGCCCGTGATGATACACATGCTGCTGGGACGCGATTGCCGCGGCTGTGTGTCACTGGCTGGTAGAGATCGCTGCTCCCGCCTCATGGCTGCCGAGCAGTACGCGTGCTCCTGATCTGGTTCTCCGCTGGCTCAGCCAGGCTGCTGAGATCTCTGTGGCCACAAGCGAAATTAAACCAACAGACTTAGGACTGTAGTAGATGAGAAGCATTCGTATGATTCAGTCCTATAGCTAAGTGGTAGGGACAATAACCTCTGACAGGAGAGTGGTGATAAACTATTTGAGTCAATAACAGCTTAAACTGCTTAGCCATTTCTTCAGGGATCGTCTGAGAAGGCCATGATAGCCATGTTAAGAAAGCAGTTCTGGAAAATCCTTTCCCATGCTATGCTGAGCTTTAAAAGAAGCAATGTTTAGGTAATGGTGACACAGGCATTTGGGAAAAAAAAAGTCTGGCAGAGAAGAGTTTTGTCTTGTCTTATCCAGCAACAAAAGCTGACTTTTCTTTGTACCTCAGGCTGGCCAAAGCTGCTGTGGTTTGTCACAGAGTCTAAACACCTCTCCAAGCCACCTCGTGACTGGTTTCCACACATCAAGGATGCAAACAATGACACAGCTTACATTGAGGTGAGTTAATGAAGATGCATCTTCTCCTCGAATCATTGCATATAGCACTTCTGGATTAGGTAAACATCATTATTCATTCACCAGTCACAGAAGCAAAGAACATCCTGTTTTAGCCTGTTAGTAAGTAATATTTTCTAATAAATTATACTGGGTATTGATTTCAGAAAAGTTAATGAAATGTTAAATTGCATTTGGGGGGTTTCCAACATTCATGTTTTTATGTCATTTATGTGGCTGCCACAATATTATATTAAACTTGCCTTGACCAATCTCGGTCTCGTTCACAGTGTGGGCTTGCCCACTAGCCTTGAGATGGATAGATGGCAAGTTTCACAGTGAAGCTTCAGTTCTCATATCACAACCTTCAGACCCTTTGAAAAAGAAGGAACTTCTTGTTTAAATGCTTGCCTGTCACTTAGCTGCTTTGTGAGTCATACTGCCCGCAAAAGACCAGCATCAGGAAGGGAAAATTAGTGATGCTGTTAAGTTTAATTTTTCTCTTTTATTTTTTTTCCATTCTTTTTCCCTCTTCTGCATAGACTCAAATGCCTCAAATTCAGTGATGTTAGTATTGAATTAAAATGATTATTCAAAGGGAATAAGTTCAAGTGAATGGAGCAAAGATATTTCCTATCTTCGTGCAGTCAGAAACTGGGCTAGAGAAGCAGAGATGCCTCCATTTTCAATCTTGCTGATTATCTTCATTATGGAGAAAGATAAATGTTTAATTTACTTTAATTGCCACTGATAGTTTTCAGACTCTTGCATAAAGTTGCAAAAATTACCGCAATCATCAGCAATGATCTCCCACCTCTTTTTTATGCTGCTTTCTCATGACTCTTTCGTATTCTTCTGATCAAAGAGCCTGTGTCTTTCAGACTGTATATGTATAGATTCTTGTAACAGCACCCAGCAAGGATTCTGTGGTCAGCTCTTATACCATGCCTTATAAGACATAGAAGGGAGAAGCTCAGGTTTATTGGTTGGCCTATAAAATCTAACATACGAACACTGAGCAGACTGAACTAGGTTATTCTCTGCTAAATCTGGTCAGTCCTTTAGTCATTAATGTGATCAGAATTGTTAGAATTATTTTTCCATAATGCCTGTATTCAAACAGCAGATGGATTTCTGATATCAAGCCTGGGAAGCTTCAGTCAAAAAGACAAAGCCTATCTGAAAAAAGTGTCTTTTAACAAAAAATGCCTCTCAAACTTCTCAGTACTGCTGCCTTCTTAAAATAGAGTCATTAAATGTGTCCATCATTCACCTACATAGGAAACACTTTAAACGTAGCTATTAAATAATGGAAATAGGGCAACTATTGCATATTGGCTTTCCCTGCTTATTTCTTTTTAGTACAAAACTTGTAAAGACGGAAGCGTGCTTGGGGTGACTGTGACAAGGATTGCACTGCTGACACACTGCCAAGCTCTGACGCAGGCATGTGGATACACAGAAGGTATAGAGTACACTTCCCTTGCTTCATCCTTAAAATCAAGTGTGAATGTAATTTGTTTCTCATCAGGCTCCTGTCTTATGTTTAACATACATCTGTGTCAAAGGCTTCTAGATTTAAAAAACTGATTTTTTTTTTCATTGGTTTTAGAAAATATGTACACATTTAAAATATCTTTGTGAGAGGTACAAATAATGTCCTAGCCAATACAAATCCTGCAGTGGAGACTTACTATGAAAGTTAAGCTTTGAGGTCATCAGTCATGTTATACTGAAGCTTCCTTCCTTTAAGTGGGTTTGCCTTGGTTCAGTGCCATGTTCTAAAAAATAAACTCTGTTTTGTTTTTGTTGGACAGCTGAAACAATTGTGAATGTATTAGATTTCAAGAAGGATGTTGGTTTATGGCATGGGATTCTTACAGTAAGTATGTTTTTTTATTTTGTTTAAGTATTTGAAAATAAACTAATCTAATCTGTTTATTACTATCACAAACTGGGATGTCCTACAGTTTCTTCTAATACAAATTTTTCTGCTTTGAAAGCAAAAAATATGTGACTTAAACCCATGATCTTCTGCTAGTGCACTTACCCATAATGAGCACGGTAAAGATGCCAATGTATTTTTATGCATCATGTCAAGTACTTTGGCCCCATTCTTACCATGTTATTCTGATCTTACTGATGCGTGATTTTGAGATCAGACTTTATAGCAGAAACAAATTAAATTAGTACTTGCCTCTGTAAGGATATGATCCAATGGCATAGCTATATTGCCACTGACTAGCTTCTCTATCAAAACTCCCACCAACAGATGGTTTTGCTAACATTAAAGCATTTCTGATATTTTAAATTGCATAAATTGTCTACTTGCTGTTTGAATGTCTTCCTCGATTGACATGGGAGGCAATTGACATATTTTTAAGGATTGCTTCTAAAGGTGCTGCTACAGTCAATGACTGGCAAAATACTATTCACTGATCATTTTAAGAACAGATGTCAAGTTTTGAAGGCTCACTGTTTGGGGGTCCCTACATGCTATGATTCCCAGGGATCCAATATACTTTTCCCATGCAGTGTTATACTGTTCTTAATATCAAAGGGCAGTAGTAACACTTCTGAAGCAGAAACAATCTATTAGGCTTAATGCCCATAAGTATCTCATGTTAAAAAACCATCTTTATCACTGAAGTTGAAAGCAAGCATCTAATAGAGCTTTTCTATGCCTTCCTTTGCTATTAATCTTGGTATGAACTTCATTTTTTCATGACTTGCCTGTTAGTGCTTTTCCTGTACCTACACTTGTGCCAGACTGAAAGGAGAACTATCTTTCACAGTTCTACAAGTGTTTAGATGACTAATCCACTGGGACCTTTCTTAAACCTAGGTTTTCCAAAACAAATACTGTATTTAACCTGAGCTGCTATGAGTGGAGACGTGTTGCTCTGCAAAGATATTTCTAAATGGTAACAGAAGTAAAGCAGCAGCTCATTTACAGGCTGTTTGTTTAGTAGTAACACTGAGAAATCACTAAAGCAATTGACTGCCTCAGACTGGGAGATCGGTTTTGGATCTGTCATTGGTTTCACTCAGCTGCTTTTTCTAAACTTCCTGCAACTTTTCATGACCTTGTTGAAAATACTGGAATTAGCCCACCTGAAGAAGGACTAAAACCTCCTTCATTTATTTTCTTTTAAAGTAAATTGATCTCTGCTTAATCTGTGACTCCACTTTCTCTGTCTACTGTCTTTTAAATTATTTGTGCCTCACTACCATTAGTAGTTTTTCAGTCTTCACAGGGATGGATTTCTTTAGACAGATATGTTGCTGTTACTTGTACTTTTGAGTAGAGAGTCTTCATATGTACTGAAGTTTAGCAGGCTTAGGGATAATATTAACCTACATAGCAAACATGCAGTCATTGTTCATCCAGTGTTTTTTTATTTTTTTCTATTTAAAGTGACTCGCTTAGAGTATAAATAGAAAGAAAATCTGTTTCATTTTTTTCAGTACCGCTTCAAAGTTACGATCTGATTAGTCTAAATCCTTAATCCTTAATTAAAGCATTAGAAAATGGGGGTCTGTTTCATCTTAATGTAGATGGCTAGATAGGAAAAGATATATGCCAGCATTGACAATAAAACAAGCATATAGAGTGATTTGCATAGATGCCCCTGCCCATAACACAATATAAATAATTACCACTCTTGTTGTATCAAACCCATTTATTTTATTTGATTTCAGAGTGTCATGAACATGATGCATGTTATAAGTATTCCATACTCCTTAATGAAAGTGAATCCACTGTCATGGATACAAAAAGTCTGTCAATATAAAGGTAAGGAACAAGAATATGAAAAAGTATTCTTGATAGTCAAAACCAAAAGTACAAATTCATATACAGCTGTATAGCTTTTATATGATGTATTAATAATCTTTCCATTCTTACTGCAGCAAAAGTTGCCTGTGTCAAATCCAGAGACATGCACTGGGCATTGGTGGCCCATCGAGATCAGAGGGACATCAACCTTTCCTCACTGCGTATGCTAATAGTGGCTGATGGTGCAAACCCATGTAAGCTATGCTTCTGCAATCCAATAGAGAACAGGAAGTGTTTTCTGTCTTGCATTTAAAGTTTCAATCTTCAGTCACCTTAGTTAAAATATTTACAAAGTATAGGGTTTGTCTACTGCAAACTATATGACATTTATGGAAACAGTAATTAATTTTGCATTTTTTTAAAATATATTCTTTAGCTAATCCTGAAGCAAACTTGATATTCCACATAACGTAAGCTGCAGTAAATCCAGTTTTGTTTAACATGACAGTCATGTATAAAGACTGAAGTAAATAACCTTAAGCTATAGAAAGGATCAGAACATTTCTTCTGAATGATGGCTCTCAGATGCAGAAGTAACTGAGAATTTTAGGGGAATACTTATACTACTCTAGAGAACCACATCTGGATCTGACAATTAAAGCATGAACCGTTTCTCTCCGTTATTCAAGATACCAGCATATAGGTGTTCTGCTTGTTTGTAGTAGTTTGCTTTGGGTTTCTGAATTACATCTTTAATTTGCCTCAACCTAAAAAAGAAAACTGTAATGAAATTCATATTGTAAATCTAGCAGTAATGGCTTTTCTACATAAGCATAGTGAAAGGACTTTATGCTCAGTGAAAGGACTTTATGCTCAAAAATGAGTCTTTATTCTCTGTATGCATACACAACTGTATATACATATATATAGTTGTGGCAGCTATGAGTTGTTTCCCGGTGGACATGGGTCCTTTTTAAATTTTTTCTCCTGAAAAGCCTATATATTCAATAGTAAGTTTGCAGTTTGAATAGCATCACTTCAGAAATCATATTATTTTTCTCCTCTGATATTTTTTTTCTTTACCCCAGGGTCTATTTCTTCCTGTGATGCATTTCTCAATGTCTTCCAAAGTAAAGGTCTAAGACAGGAGGTCATTTGTCCCTGCGCTAGTTCACCAGAAGCTCTCACTGTGGCTATTCGAAGGTACTGTGTTACACCAGTGGAGATGATACACCCACTGTAGAATATATGTGGTAATTTGAAAAGAAATATAAATTTATTCAAGTATGAATCTGCATACTTAACTTCTGAATGACATTTTTAGTTCTCATTTTGTTTATGTCCAAAGAAGAAATACAAGAAGAATTTGTAGAGTAATAATTTAACTTCAGAGTGCTTTGTAATATAGTTCCCATTTCTGTAATTTTATGTAATTGTAAATTAAATAGACTGAAATGCAAAAGCTAATTCTGTAAAAAGAAGAGGAAAAATGCCACTGTAAGCATAAAATTAGTTAAAATGTGGGAATTTAAATGGAATTGCTGTCTAGGAAAATCATGCTTTGTAGTAGTCTGTTTAAAGAGAATTATGACATTCTGCAGGTTGTTTTTGGCTGACAGGCGCTTTTTAACTGTTCATAGACTCTCAGTAATCATCTGGAAATGCCCTTTGAGTCTGGGGGATTTGTGCCTAGAAATAAAATTGGTAAATCCTAATAAAACTATTAAGCCTTATACACATGAATGTCAGTATGCAGCAGTCACCTGTCATGAGTGTTGTAGCACACAGTAAATGGCATAACTGTTGTCTGTTTTGGCAGAGTTTTCCAAAAGTTGTACCTTGAACAGTAGGCACTTTGTTTTTAAGTTCAGAATTCTGCAGCCATTTATAATTGTTTTACACGTTAAAACATGCAGTATAAAACTGTAAAGAACTGTAATAGCATTAAGTAAAATACTTCCTGCCACAAAGTTTAAAATACACTGTCCAAGTGAAATTTGACTAGATTTTCAATTAGCTTTCCAATGAAACATTACAGTAAGAAAGACACAAGGCCAAGAGTGTGGTTGACTTTCAGCCACCTCATTATTAACTTAAAACGTCTGAAAGCTATCCATCAGGGACTTACCCTGTCCAGGTTAGTTGTCTTTCTGTAAACTACAGGATCTCAGAGAGCCCTTCATTCGCTCTACCAGCTTGTTCTCAGCTTTTACCAAGAAGTACGTTGTTTTTCCCTTGCGTTGGGTTTCCCTGCCATAGGCTGCGCAGACTTTCGCTCCCTTGGAATGAGCTCTTGCTTGTAAGTGCAGAGAGGAGGTTGAAGGGCAGCGGACATCTTTTGTGCTGAGCACTGATTAACTGGAGAGGGTTTTCATTTCCTGTGCTAGCCCTGGAAAATCTGCCCCAGAACACAGGTTATGAAGTGGGAGAACTCACTGCGTCTCAACGTTCGATGGCTGGCATGCCCTTTCTAGACTTAAACTCTATGCTTATAGCCACCTGAAGCACTAGAGATTCATTTTCAAATTAACTAGCATTGAGGGCTTACATAAAAAAATTCATTAGCACATAAAATAGTGGATAATTCAAAAAAAAAAGAGACAACATTTTTATCTGCAGTGCCTTGCTGTGTAATTACAGAGCAGTTCTTACTACAGTGAATGTTATTGAACACGTATCTCCTTTTTTGAAGTCTATTTAATGGTAGGATAATACCAGCTGAACTTGGGAGCTTTAGTATTTTTCATTTTATTCAAGCCATCTCCGCTGACAGTAAAGTCATTACCATACAAGTTCCAAAGAGTTACAGCTGAAGTATACATTAAAATGACTCCCTGCAGAGCACAGATGCAGAGAGCTCCCTGTTAATGCTCTGACTCTTTCAAAATCTATGGTGTATTTTTACTGATCTTCCTTCAAGGAAGAGTAACAAAACCAGTTCTCAGTTGAAATACCCTTATAGTTTAGATAAAGGAAGTCAGTTACAGAATAATAGGTACTTTAGCCTTAGAGCTGAATCATGAAGCCTAATATTTAAAGGAATGTGTCATGCAAATAATTCTTTATGGTATTCCCTGTCGGTTTATTGTGTATTAGTCTGTACCCACTTGCTTACGGGAGTGCAAAAGTTTAAGTCTGTTCCCATTTAAACAACTGGCAAAAAATAGTGGTAAAATAGATTGTATCTGTAAATGGTAGTGTTAACTGTTCTCACAATGCTCTACAGCTACTCAGTATGAACAAATCAGCTTTAAAGTAGAGGCGCATTGTCCCTCTTTCATGGTTAAGGAAACTAAAGGGGTAGGTTTGTCTGGTGTTTTAAGCTAAATTTGCTTAGTATATGAAGTAGGTGGAATTATACCTTTGTTTAGTTGCTCCTACCTTAAGCAAAGGATTTATCTTTTTCTAGCAAGCAGTCTTACAGAATTCCAAATCCAGTATTAGAAATACTGAATGTCTAAAGAAAGTTAAAAATGTTAACTTTCATTGGAATGGGGTTATTTATCTGAGACAGCCAGCATGGCTTCACCAAGGGCAAGTCCTGCCTGACCAACCTAGTGGCCTTCTATAATGGAGTGACTACATCAGTGGACAAGGCAAGAGCTACAGATGTCATTTATCTGGACTTCTGTAAGGCCTTCGACACAGTCCACTACAAAATCCTTCTCTCTAAACTGGAGAGGTATGGATTTGATGGGTGGACTGTCTGGTAGATGAGGAATTGGTTGGATGGTTGCATCCAGAGGGTAGTGGTCAACGGCTCAATGTCCAGATGGAGGTTGGTGAAAAGTGATGTCCCTCAGGGGTCCGTGTTGGGACCGGTACTGTTGTAATATTTTCATCAATGACATAGACAGAGGGATCGAGTGCACCCTCAGCAAGTTTGCAGATGACACCAACCTGAGTGGTGCGGTCGACACACCTGAGGGATGGGATGCCATCCAGAGGGACCTGGACAAGCTCGAGAAGTGGGCCCGTGTGACCCTCATGAGGTTCAACAAGGCCAAGTGCAGGGTCTTGCACCTGAGTCGGGGCAACCCCCGGTATCAATCTGGGCTGGGGGAGGAAGGGATTGAGAGCAGGACTTGGGTGTACTGGTGGACGAAAAGCTGGACATCAGCCGGCAATGTGCACTTGCAGCCCAGAAGGCCAACCATATCCTGGGCTGCATCAAAAGAAGCATGGCCAGAAGGTTGAGGGAGGTGATTCTGCCCCTTCACTCTGCTATGGTGAGACCCCACCTGCAGTACTGTGTCCAGCTCTGGAATCCTAAGTACAGGAAAGACATGGACCTGTTGGAGCGGGTCCAGAGGAGGGCCACAAAAATGATAAGGGGGATGGAACACCTCACCTGTGAGGAACGACTGAGAGAGCTGGGGTTGTTCAGCCTGGAGAAGAGAAAGCTTTGGGGAGACCTTATTGCAGTCTTTCAGTACTTAAAGGGGACTTATAAGAAAGATGGGGACAAACTTTTTAATAGGGCCTGTTGCGACAGGACAAGGGGGTATGGTTTTAAACTAAAAGATGGTAGATTTAGACGAGATATAAGGAAGAAATTTTTTACAGTGAGGGTGGTGAAACACTGGCACAGGTTGCCCAGAGAGGTGGTAGATGCCCCATCCCTGGAAACATTCAAGGTCAGGTTGGACGGGGCTCTGAGCAACCTGATCTAGTTGAAGATGTCCCTGCCCGCGGCAGGGGGATTGGATTAGATGACCTTCCAATCCAAACTATTCTATGATTCTATGACTCATCGTCTTTCCAAGTGTTTTTTCTCTTTCTGCTTGGCAGAGGTGTTTGTTTTAGGGATGTTCCCATGTGGATATCATGGACAGGACAAAATAAGATACCATATATTGCAGGATTGTTGCTGACAAGATACTTTCTAAGATGATGTATAGGTGCTGTCAGGTGTTTGGCTCCCCACCTTGCTCCTCCATCCTGGTCCTCTGACTGTGTCCCCTTTTGGTGTCAGATAACTAGTTGCCTGCAAGAGGAGACTCGAGCACAGTTAACTGGTGTCTCATTCAGGGAACCACCTTAGACTACCAGGGTACCAGAAGTACTCTGAAATAGCAGCTCTGAAATGCCTGCCCTGTGGACCCCAGGTCCTC